AATATAAGTAACCATTCCTGGACTTGACAGGAGAAGGCCCCCATAGGTCTGAATGAACAAGCTCAAGAGGTGCAGTATAAAAGCTTTTAGATTGAGTATAAGGTAATCTATGAGCTTTAGCCAACAAACAAGAAGAACAAGGATCATTCATTTCATTTTGTTCAAAAGGAACATTACAATCTTTTAGAGCTCTTATTACAATATCATAGGATGAATGTCCTAGTCTTTTGTGCCATAGGTGAAGGCTGCACTTCTTGGAATGAGGAAAAGCAGAAACTGCATGGATACTAGGTTGAATGATGTCTGAGTGAGCTAAGTTGGGATGAGACTGAGGTTCTTTGTGACTTGAGAGGTTGAATTGGTAAAGACCAGCTTTAAGTGTTCCCTTGAGAAGAACGTGGTGAGTAACCTGGTCCTTAACAACACAAGAATCAGGATGGAACTCAAAGTAAACATTGTTATCAGTGGCAAATTCAGAAACCCTGAGAAGATTCTTGGTAATAGAAGGAACATGAAGAAGTTTGTTTAGTTTAAAAACTTTAGAGGAGTAAGGAGATTTCAGTTGAGCAGTGCCAATATGAAAGATAGACTCACCAACACCATTACCCATATGAAGCCTGTTAGTTCCTTGATAATCTGTCACAGTTGAGAGATTGCTCAAATCATTGGAGATGTGGTTTGTTGCTCCTGAATCAGGGTACCATAAGGACTCTATGTTGCTTTCTGAGGAGATACTAGGTGAAGGTGGTGGCAGCTGAGCTAGATGAAGAGCTGGATTTCTGGTGGAATTGTAACTGTTGCCTTGATTTTGTGTAGTTGAGTTGTTTTGTTGATTTGCAGGCACAAAATTTGAGTCATACCTATACCAGCATCTATCAGCAGTGTGTCCTGTGACCCAACACACTTGGCAAACAGTCCTTTCACTTTGAAAACGACCTCCTCTGCCTCTATATCCTCCTCTAGATCTTCCTCTTCCTCTAAGACCACCTCTCCCTTTTCCTTGGTTATTATTGTTGTTATTGTTCCAGTTTTCTCTGCCTTGGGTTGCTATGTTGAGGGAAGGCTGAGATCCATCAGAGTTGGCATTACCACCATTGTTAGGAGTGGTTGCAGCTTCAAGCCTGGACTCATAGCTAAGAAGGAGAGCTTGAACATCCATCACAGACCAGGTGTCAATTCTTGAGGTGACAGTAATCATCACAAGATCATATTCACTGCCTAAAGCTGATATGATGTGCAAGATCTGGTCTTTTTCAGACACCTTGGCTCCTACTGATGCAAGCATGTCAAAACAACCCTTCATTTTGTTGAGAAATTCTCTCATGCTTAGGCTGCCTTTCCTCATGGTTTGAAGTTGAAGTTTGAACTGCATCTGCTTGGCTAGAGACTGACTGGTGAAATTTGTGGAGAGGGCATTCCAGATTTCTTGTGAGGTTTGAAGTCCTACCATCTGGACAAGAAGACTCTCTGATAAAGATGATAGTAACCATGAAACAAGAATTTGATCTTGCCTCTGATAGGTGGTGAACTCAGGATTGCGGATCTGAATTTCCTGCTGCTGAATGAACTGAGGTGGCTCTTGCCCTCCAAGAAAAAAATGTTCAAGGCCATAACCTCGAATCGTAATGAGAGCTTGTTGTTTCCAAATTAGATAGTTGTTTTCATCGAGTTTGGTGGTTAACAACTGATTTTGAGGATAGATAACTTGAAGAGAAAGAGAAGAAGTTGGAGGTGGATCTCCTGTTCCATACATGGCTGAGCCTGAACTTGACATTCAAAAAAAGAACGAAAAAGGAAAAGAAAAGAGGTAATCAGCAGCAGGCAAGGCCTGCTCTGATACCATGAAAGAAAATTAAAAGAAGCTTGAATAACAAGAAGCCAAACATGGCAGCCATGATTTTCTATTAGGGTTTCGAATTTTTCATAGTTCTATGGACTGTTACATTGCTTGATTTTATACTACAGGGAGAACCAAAACATGGATAAGTTTTACCTAGTACAAAGATGACAAAGTAAGTAATCTCAGCTCTACACATATCAAGCTCATGCAGATAATATCAAAGGCTGAGATGATGCCCGTACTTCACAGCTGTAAGTAGCCATTGAGCTTGTCCTTGGTGTAACAGATTTTGGACGCTCACGTGCTGCATGCTCCTTAGCTAATGGATCTGCAAGATGGGCTGCTCCCATGCACATAATATTGGGCTTAACATTATTGGGCTGAGTAGATGCATGACCTGTACTCATTTGGACTGCAACATGAAGTTGATGTGTTTCTTTAATATTTGTAACATTATAAAATGATAAATGGTGTACAACAAAGTAAAAAGAATAATAATAATTGAATAAAATCTATACTTATATAAAAGGCTATCTCATTTACTAGAATTAGTAGGAATAAAAGTCAACTCATAATTAATTGCACACCATATTTAGAAAGTTTTAGATTTTTTAAATTATAAAATAGGTAGCATTAAATGCTCTTAAAATTATGGGTTTTGTTGAATTAATTTTTAATCAAATTTGAATCCAAATTTACGTGTGGTTTTTTAGTGATTTTTTTTTTTTTTTTTT